CAACTATAATTTGCCTCTGCAAAATGCACTTACTCAAAAGACCAATGGCGGTACCCCCAGAACTTTCAGATTTCAGTTTTATTGCATCCGATGCCATTAGGAAGAAGATTCATGGCAGAGACAGTGGAGGTCTAATTATATTTTATAAGATACGTGTTTACACTATTGATGTCATGGGTATAAGTGAATATTGGATCTGTTTCCATGTTAAGGAAACCCATCGAATTAATGCATTTATTTTAGTTTTAGTTTATTTTAAGCCGTCTGTGAATATTAGTATTGTACTAGAACTATTTGAGCCCACTCTTGATAAGTTACTAACTAAATATTCTCATAATTTGTTTCTGTGTCTTAGTAATTATAATTCTAGGGTAGCTGATTTGAATCAGGGTGATTTTGAGGTCTTTAATGGTTCCAATTTATCCAATTTAGTATCATGGATAATTTGGGCAATGTCCGTGATTCAAAAACATTCTGGAGAGCAATAACAAAATTTAGATACAAGAAGCTATAGCCAGTTCCAATTAACTCTGACGAATGGTTTGACTACTTATTACTTTTATACCCCCCACAGGTGAAATGCGAAGTAGTATATCAAGTTCTCCATCCTCTTCTAGATTCAGAAATTAGCCTTGAGGAGCATGCCTCTTGAAATTTAAAAACAGCAAAAGTACTGGTAGAGAAGGTTTCAGTTATGAATTTTATAATAAATTACCAATTAACTGGCAATTATATCTTTTGAATTTGTATAAAAGAGTATTTTCGAATGAGAATATACTGAGCTCCTAGGTAAAAATAGAATACACTATGATGTTTAAAAAAGGTGACCACAATCTACCCGAAAACTATTGTGCAATCACTTTGATCAATTGTATAATAAAAATATTTACTCAGATAATTATAAATAGATTGATTATCTGGTGTGACGAAACCAAAGCTGTCCCTGAAGAACAATCTAGATTCCAAAAAGGTAGAAGGTATCTGCATAATTTGTTTACTTTGAATACTTTAATTCAGATACAGCTGGGATTTCGCGGAAAGAGCTTGTTTGCTTGCTCGCTTTGTAGATTTCAAGTGAGCCTTTGAATCGCTGTATCATAATTTGCTTTGGCTGTCTCTTCAAAATCTGGGCATTAGCAACAAAATTATTAAAATTAAAAAAAATATTAATCTGAACACCACAGCTAGAGTTAGGAGTAGTGGTGAGTTCTCTGATGAAATAGATATCACCTTGGGTCTGTAACAGGAAGAAGTACTATCGTCTTATCTATTTAGACTATATTGAGTGATATTGAATAATTTTCCAGAGTCAGCATGTAGGAGGTATAAGATTAATAGTTCCTGTGACATACTCTTACTTCTTTACTGGGAGGATTTAATAATTGTGGCTGACAGCTATACAGATTTGAAAAGAGGTAAATACTAAAAAATCTAAAATATTATATTTTCACAAGGGAGAATGCAAAAAGGTAGGGAAATTGTTTTGTGAAAATTACGAAATTGAAAAGGTCCCAAGTTCATTTATATTTATATTTTTGAGAAAAAATAAATAATTTAATAGCAATTAGTATCCTCCGCTATAATGTTCAACTATGGGGCTTAAGATATATGGATAAGCTGGAGAGCGGAAGCTTAAACTTCTATAAACGTTTATTTTCATTGAATAAAAGTTGCCCTTTTTGGTGAATAAGATTGAAATTTTATGTCCTTCAATACTCAGTTACAATATTAAAATTGACACTGCCTTGGGGGTTAAAAATTTTGAAAATAGAAAATGATAGATTTCCTCAAATTTTTTTCAATAAGTTGAAATAAATATATATTAGTGCCAAAGGGGGTCATAAATTCAATTGGTTTAATCAGTTACACACTCTGTTGTGCTCTGTACATAAACAGTCCATTCTGAAATTAGAAGAAGCAAGTGCATTTCAGCTAGAGATCAATAGAACAATAAGCCTATTTAAAAGCCACACAGAGGAATGTGATAAACAAAAATTGATTGCCTCTACTAGTACAACAAAATTACTATAGAAATTCGCAGCTTTTAAATTTTAAAAATAAAGGAGAATGCTTCTTGGATTTTGAATGTGCCTTGGCAAGGTGAGAAGTAGTTCTATAAGAAGAATCCAAGAAAAATACAAAAACATCAATATTTACGTTTTTACACCTAAAAGTTCAAAGAAATTTCCTTAAGCATATCAGCTACTGGTGCTTTTAACCTAATAGTTTCTCATACCCATTGTTTCCTGTTTTTTTCTTAGTCCAGATGAAGGCCTAAACTTTGGGGCGAAACGTCGGCAAAAATAAAAATATATATAATTTCTTTATTTTAACTGAAAATCTCAACCAATCTTCCCTTCTCTATTACATTTCATTGTTCATATTTAGGCATGCAGGTAGGAGAAGATGTTGTCATTGAGACCCAATGAATTATTTTTACATAATTAGTAAAATTTTTTATATTAATTTATTATAATTCTACCCCAATATATCCCAATATGTACACGAGTGATAAGCATCAGCCTTATCTCACATTAAATGTCCCCTTTCCTATGACCAAAACACTAACACAGATTAGGTTATCTGGCAATTATCAGATTAAATTAATATTCAATAATAAATATTGTTATTTTAAGCCAAAAGAAATTTGCACAATTTGTAATCTAAATTAATTGTTAAGGACCTTAAGGACCTGAAATTAAGGACCTGTTTCATATTTTCATCCAATTTACACTCCCTTCTGCCATCAATTCCTATCTCATTCTGTGAACATGACCAGGTCGAATTATAACAAATTATTCAAAACTGACAATGAAGTCTTCCTCAAGAACCTGTTTTATTACACCAGACGATGTTGTAGATTGAGGTCCTTTATTGTCAATGAATTATGAAATTACCAATATGTGTACATAAAATTGTTGCCAAAACTTTTACTGTTGAATATCTGGTTTTGTTTATCGTATTTATTATCCATGCATGAACGACAACATGAACAACATTTATATGGAATGCATATCTTATTTTATTGTATTATCTGTTGCTTATTATTATTATTTATATGTACTATTTATTACTTACTATGTTTTATTATTATTATAGTGTATATTGTATAATATAGGATATTATATTATATTACATATATTTCTAATTGTGGATTGATGGTTGACTGTAGTGAATAATTGAAGAGAAGATTGCTTGGAGTTTTCAGTAAAAATAAATAAATTATATTTATTTTTATTTTTACTGACATTTCGGCCTTAAGTTCAAGCCTTCAACAGAGCTAAGAAAAAACAGATAACAATGGGTATGAGAAACTATTAAAATTAAAAAGGAAATAATAATTCACCTACATATTATTATTTTCTTTCCAATGTTAGAATCACAGCACCAATAGCTGATAGTGTTCCAATACCTGACATCCACCTCGAAAAATGGGAGTAATAAAATTTCAGATCCTCATAGACCTCTATTTCATGAATTTGTGGCTTCAATATTTTCTCCTCGTATATTTCTCTGCTTTGCTTTAGTCCAGAAACCACTACTGAAATAATGAGTGGCAAATCAGGAAGGTCCCTCACAGTCCACACACCCAGTCCCACATACGATCCCAGGAACAACGATCTTTCAGTAAGGACATAATACCTTTGGTTTGTTTCTTCCTCTTTAACCACTTTGATTTATTTCAAAAATTTTGTTTTGTTTTTTCTTGGCGTGTTTTTAGATTATGTTTTGTTTGTTTTTAACCTATATTGTTAAAGGGATAACAAAATTTAATGGATGTCAGCTATGGGAGCCTTTCTTGGATTTTTTGCCAGTTGTTGACAGGTTTGTCTTTGCAGAATTTCATAGAGATATAATTAATATAACAGGTCTTAAAAATGGACTATCCACTATTATCTCATTTAAAGAAACATTGCTAGTAATATGAAAACTCCAATTATTAGTATTAGTATTCAGCTCCTGTAAGATTACCAACTCTAAGTTACTCTAAGACTAAATTTCAGCTAATCATTGCCCTGCTTGATATTTGGGATGCTGACCAAGCCCACAATCCTCTTGCCACCAAGCCTTACAATAGGTTGAAAGAACAGCTTCTCTCAGATAGTGCCTGAATAAAGAAGCTTTTGGAGGAGCAGAAGTTGGGTGATCAGGGACCATCTCAGTTTCTCTGAGAGATGCAGCAGTTGGCTGGAGATAAGGTCCCTAGAAGTATGCATATCAGACTGTGGCTCAGGGGATTGTCTGGAGAGATGCAAGCGGCCCCAGCTGCGACAGACCACACAGACATTTCGAAACTGGTCAAAATAGCTAAGATACAGCTGCAATCAGGTAATCCCATTTTGGCAAGCCAGCTAGTGCTAGAGTTTTATGGAAGAGTCAATCTAGAAGTGGCAATAGATTGCTTAACTAGGGAAGTGGCTGCTCTGAAAGCACAAATGGGAGCAAGAAAAAGTCGACAGGAGAGTATATCATCTAGCAGGAATCGGAGGTTCTTGAGAAGTAAAAGTAAAAGGTGTTTACGCTTTTACCATGATAGGTTTAAAGAGAAGGCAACCAATTGTCACCAACCCTTAAAATGGAAACCAGCTAGGGCATTAAACTAGTAGCACTGATGAACGAGAGGCAGGTTTCATCACTGAGGTCACCAACCACCGAATCTTCATTGCCGATAGGAAGTCCCTACCTGTCTACCTGATGAAGACCAACCAAGAGTTCACCCTATATGCAACAAACGGGATACTCATTTCTACCTTTGGGAGCGTGGTTCAAAAATTCGACTTGGTACTCTGCCATAAGATGTCTTGGCAATTCATCGTGGCGGATATAAGTCATTCTATAATCGGCACAGATCTACTGTACCACTATAATGGAATGAAAAATAATTTTATTGAGAGACTAAAGTGCCATTTAATGGTAGATCTCCCCGGATGCCAGTTGGTGGACCAGAAGACAGGGCTGACCACCTGAGGAAAATCAGCAATGGTACCGGTGCCCACGGTTTATTCAGTACGTACAGGGGAATGGCGCAGTACATAACTATGCTGGTACCCTAGCATGACCCAGCCAAACCTCTTTTGTGAAACTGCCCAAGCATGATGTAATCCACTACATAGAGACTCATGGAGCCCAGTCACAGCCAGGGCCCACTGCCTGCCACCAGGGATGGCCTTGAGGGTGTATAACGTCATCAAGAGGGAATTTACGTAGATGATAGAAGAGGGGATTTGCAGGTTGTCTAATAGTCCCTGGGCTAGCCCACTACATATTGTAAAGAAGGATGGGAGCATATGACATTGCAGCGAATACAGGCAGTTGAATGCCAAATGGTCCCCAATCGATATGCAGTCCCTAAATTAGTGCATTTTAATGTATATAAGTAGGGAAAGAAAATCTTCACCACGCTGGATCTCAACCTCTGTGCATATTACCATTATAATCCCGGTGACAGAGGACATTTCAAAGAATGTTGTTATTACACCTTTTGGACTCTTTGTATTCCTGTTTGTATTTTGGTTAGAAAAATGCTTCGCAGACCTTCCAGCGATTCCTTGACTGTGTACTTTGAGGTCTGGATTTATCATGGTGGTTCCTGGATGACATCATCATTGCCTTAACGGACGAAAAAGACCACACAGCACAAATGGAGGAAATTCTGCGGTGGCTTGAGGACCATGGTCTCACTTTAAACTTTTAAAAAAATGCATATTCGCGTGCCAAGGAATGGAGTTTCTAAGACATTTTTTCCGGCATCAGTGCTCTCCCAGCATAGGTGAAAGCAACATTATCTGAGCATGTTGGACTTCTATCATCGTTGCATACCCAGAATGGCACATTCAGGCCCCTCTCAATAGGTTTCTGGCTGGAGTGAAGAAGAATGAAAAGCGGCTTGTTGAATGGGACAAAGAAGCCATCCAATTGTTTGAATGTTGCTAAACTACCATTCAGAAAGCCACAGAGCTTGGACACCCAAAGGAGAATGCCTGACTGGCTCTGGTTCACGACTCTTCCAACACTGCCATAGGAGCGGTTTTGCAGCAGAAGAATGGCGACACTTGGTGACCTCTGGGATTTTTTGCTAAGGCTTTCATTCCAGCTCAGAGGAAAAATGCTACATATGACAGGGAGCTGCTGGCTTTGCACCAGGCCATTAAGCACATCAGGTATTACCTGGAGTGAAGGCAATTTGAAATTTGGACGGACCATAAACTATTGGAGTATGCATTTGAGATGATGCTCAAGACCCTCCGAGACAAAATGAAGAATCTCTGACTAGCGCTAAACCACAGTCGCACGGCAAAAACCTTCATCCACCGGAACTTAAAGGACTGCTCCCACTGTGATTGTATGCATTATGAAAAGTAAATATTAATTTAATTCAAACAATATATATTGAATATAAACAATTTTTTTACTTACAAAATAAGTGATAAATGAAAAAAATAAAAGTTTTGGATTAGGATGGGTAAAAGTGTGGTATAAACTGCACAATTGCAGAATAAATAATAACCTGGCTGAAGTTCTCAAAAGGCGAGCTTGAAAATGATGAGCAAATAGCTTTGAAGCCCATGAAGAGTAATAAGAGATCAGAATTAAAAATTACAGGAATCATAAATATAATCATAATTAGTTTTGTAAATTGTAAGTTATAGAACTAAAATTTATCACCATTCACAGTGAAAATTAATAATTTTGTAAAATAAACATAAGTTCTAAACCTGACAATACGAGTACTTAATTTTGTAAATATTATAAAGTGTATATTACTTTAGAACATAGTTGACAAGGGAAGAGAGTCCTTTCACCACAATGTTGTCTTAAGTGTGCTTCAAGATGGTCCTTTCTCCTGAACCCAGTACCGCAGGCCTCACATTCCCAGTCTGTTTAAAATAAACACCTTTTAAATTAAACAACAAAGAAAAACTTACCAATCATAAGTAAATAAACGATGATATTACCTCTGACCTTTGAATGTACAACCATGTGACGGACTAATTTGAACTTAGAGCTGAATCCTTTGGTACAATGTTCACAGGTGTACCTTTTCTCTCCAGAATGAATAGACCTAAACAGTAACTACTACTTTAACAAAGCTTTTAAAGATTGAATTATTTGTTGTTCTTAAAGAATTTTCCACCATTGTGGTTTTCCTGGACCTAAATATACTTTAAGATATACTACTGGAAATTGTGGTACTGTTTTAAAATGAAAAAAAAAAAAGAAAAAGAGACAAAATGTTTGGGAAATATCTTAATTTCTGTAACACACCAGAGAAATTGAGCCGGGAAAAAGTAGTGTAATCCATATTACAACTAGTTCAGTTAATGAATGAGTGCTCAAAAAGGAGGTATAGGGGGAAATGAAAGGAACACATTTTTTTACTTTGAGGCTTTGTACTAAACAAAGTATTTTTACCTCCTTTATAGACCAACTATTAAGGAGGTAAAAATACAGAAGTCCCCACTCCTAGGATGTGAGCCAAGGATGACAGTTACTCAGATCACATTTTTGTTTTTTTTTGCTTATATCAGGGAAACCATGTGTGTGAGCAATAAAGACGTTCTATATAAAATTAAAGCTGATACTAAATACAACAATTTTAGTATACTTGTTTTAAATATTACAAGCCTATTAAGATATGCGGAAACAACACAAGTTACATTTGAATAGAAAACAGCATACCTATGGCGCACCGTAGGCCTTCAAGACCGTGGTGCATTTGGCCACCAAAACAAAAAATCGCAAATATTTACATATTTTATTTAAGCCATTGTACAATTTCTTATGATTTTTTTTTTCGATTCTCTTTCTACTATTTTATTTTTAATATACTCTCCTTTTTATTTTTGAGAAATTTAGTCATTTCATTCATAAAACTCGGAAATGGCATAATTGTAATCAGTAGAATTACTTAAAGTTTTTAATTTAGCAGCTTTTCTTTTACCACACATGTTTATACCATCTTTATCAAACCAGGGTTTATTCTTTTTATTTTACCTTTTCCCAAGAATAGAGTTACCAACCTCTTTAATATTATCCCTTGTCCCTATCCATAACTTGCCTATATTGCCACGATTCTCTTCAGAAGATTCTAAAAACTTCAAACCTATTCTTAATTATTAGCTCGAATTGTTTTATAATTGATTGATTGTTCAAATTTTCTTAATTAAAATTTTCGGAATCAAAACTGTCTTCTTTTCTTTTCTTTGTATTAAGTTTTTGTCAAAGTTTTACATTGTCAAAGTTTTACAATTAGTAATTCATGATTTGACCCACATTCAACCCTGTGATAAGATCTTAAATTAATTATACTTTTTTGCAGCCCATGTTGTATCAAGACACGATCAATTTCATTTTGTGTTTGGGAATCCAGTGATGTCTTCTCTTCTCTAACCATAACCTTTCTGTGTTCCTGGTCCTCGCTCATTCGACAAACATGACTGAACCACTTGAGCTGTCTTTTTTCCAGGGTGGATTTTAGTGCAGGAATTTTCAGCTCCTCCCTAATCCTTTTATTTCCAGCGACCCTACACAAATACTTCATTTCAATTCCTGTGATTCTAATTATCTGTTTGTCCAGCATGACCCAACATGCACTCCTGTAGCTAAGAGTAGAAAAATATACTGACTTGTAGTTATGAAGCTTGGCTTTGTGCCCTACATCTGGATGACCGACAGTGCTATTGCAAATATCATAGTAGATTTGGTTGGCTTTGGCAAATTTTATTTCCTACTTCCCAATTCATTTATGTTGGTCCCCTAAGTAGCCACACACAAGAGACTAATTGACCTATAATTAACACACTCTATTTGACCTTTTTTGTGGATCTGAATAATCACACTGTATTCCTAATTTTGCAGAACTGTTTTCGTTTCTTAAACAGTCTGAAATAGCCCTTGCAGTGCTTTAATGAGCTCATGTCCGCCATATATCAAGAATTCGGGGACAATGTTGTCCCTGCCTACCGCCTTGCCTGTCTTCATCTGCTCAAGAGCCTATTTTACTTTACTTCCTTTTCGTTAATGACTTCTTCACTGATTTTGCAAAGCATCTGTTCCCTTTGTTCTCCAGTTGCTTCTTCATTAGCAAAGAGATCTAGGATGTGAATACAACATCAATCTAATATTTTACATGGTTCTGTCAGTAGTACACCATTACTGTCTTTTATATTTCTCACTGGCTTGGCTCTTATTCATTAAATGAATTTCTCAGTATGCCGAAATATTTTGATGTTTTCTGTGTGATTTTGATTAAGGCTTTTGAAAATTCTTCCCAGGTCTTCCTTTTAGCTGCTTTAACTGCTGCTTTTATCTAACTTACCGTTTTTCTATACCGAGAAAAGTTATCAGGCGTCATATTCTGTTGGTAGGACTTCCATGCTTGTTTCTTATTACTTACAATAAGTTTTATACTGTTGTCCCCCCATTTACTGCATTTGCTTCTTTTGATGATTTTTTGTAGATCACAGGTCTCTTTGGCAGTTTCCAAAATCAAAGCTTTAAGGGTGTTCCATTGTTTCTCTGCATCTCCATATAAATCAAATACTCAGAAGCTTTCTTCCATCCTGCCAGAGTATAGTTTCCTCTTGTCTGGGTCGCCCAGAACTCGCACTTTTATTGTCTGGTAAACTTTAGGTAGAGCCTTGAATGTTCTTAGGATAATGGTACCTATGACTAACAACAGATTGTTCGTACCTATTTCTACTCCTCTTATTACTTTCACATCTCTGAAATATTGTCGTATTTCTCAATCATAGTAGTCTATGACACTATTTCCAACTATACTTGAGAAAGCAATTTTGTGTACCTTTTTATATGGGTAGAATGCATTTCGTACTTAGAGGTTGTTTTCAACACAGAAATCAATCAATTACTGGTCATTTACATTCTTTACCATTTCGCCTCCAGGACGCCCCATCGTGCCTTGAAATTCGATGGTTCTATCCAGTTCTTGCATTAAAGTCTCCACACAGAATTACTGACCTTTCCTTGTCTCTGCTTCGGTCAACCACTCATTGAAGATCTGAGTAGAACAATTCCTTGTCCAAAATTGCAGCATCTTCTGTAGGATGTATATACACTGACAGACAAAAAATTCCACCCACTTGATTTTTCCATGTTTTCATCTAAAAATATTTCTGTAAAGTTGTATTTGTATAAAATACATGGTATTTGTAGATAATACTTAGTATTTATGGAATTTTATAATCTTTTTTACCTTTAAAAATCAAAATGTGATTGGGTAAGAAAGATTAGAGAAAAAAAATTGAAAAATGAACCATTATTATTCTAAAAGAAATTAATTATATCATCGTTTAGTAGCACGTGTTTCCTCCTCTTGCCTTCACAACTTCTTGAAGACGCCTCGGCATACTTTCCCCCAGTCGGGAAATGTCCCTTTGCTGGAGTATAGCCCATTCCTCCCGAAGAGCCCTTTCAAGGTCCTGCAGTGTATCAGGAAGTGTTGCACGCGCTCTTATTCGTCTTCCGAGGTTATCCCATAAATACTCAATGGGATTAAAATCTGGAGAACGTGCTGGCCAGGCTAAAACCTCAATATTGTTCTGTTGAAGGAACGTCTGCACTATGCGGGCGATATGTGGGCGTGCATTAGAATAGAACGATCGCCAATTTCGTTGATGATAGGCAACATATTTGTTCCAAAATCTCATCTACATAGCGAATGGCCGTCAAAGACCCTCCACGAACAACAACCAATTCTGTGCGGCCCTCCATTGAAATCCCAGCCCACACCATTAAGGAACCACGTTGGAAAGGTTGGTTCTGGGAAATATTACAGGCTGCATATCTTTCGTTTCTTCTTCTCCACACCCTTTCACACCTGTCTGGAGATCGAAGAGCGAATCTTGACTCATCTGTAAAAAATTCAGCACTCCATTCGTCCATAGTCCAATGGCTGTGTTCTCGAGCAAAAGCCAGCCGTGTTACTCTGTGAGTTCTGGTCAACTCTGGTCCTCTTACTGGGCGAAAAGCCATTAATCCATACTCATTTAATCTTCTCCGAGCGGTACGTTCAGAAATTTGCAGACCTCGAACTTCTTCGAGCTGATGAATCGCTTGAACAACGGTAAGGTGCCGGTTTCGTAAAATTCTCAAAGTCAAAAATCGGTCATCTGTGGTTCTGTTACCCTAGGCCGTCCAGAACCGGCCTTCTATTGTAAGAACCAGTTTCCCGAAAACGCCTGACTGCGTCCCGTAAAGTTTCATATGGAACTCCGATGGCATTAGCTGCATATCTAATGGAACGTCCATCATCAATAAGTGCCACACCACGCACAACATCCTCAGCACTAAGAGGTATTTTTAAACTTAATATTGAAAAAATTAAAAGCTAGAGACTAAGAAATGTGCTGCAAGAAATGGCACTGAACTAATGATACTGAATAAGCATTTTGATTCCATAGAAAGTAAACATTGGAATCTAGAATCATTTCATTGAATTAAGGATTAAGGGTTATTGTTCTCTATATTAGCATTCCTAATTGAAAACCAACAAAAAGATTACCTATTTATTCATTAAAAACAATAGACCAATCCAAAGCAGAAATATTTTTAGATGAAAACAATAAAAAATCAAATGGGTGGAATTTTTTGCCTGTCAGTGTATATATATATATATATATATATATATATATATATATATATATATATATTATGATATATTTAGATGATTTATTTAGATATATTTAGATTTAGTTATCTTGCCTATTGTTACTTGTAGATCTGCAAGTATAATCCTAGAGGGGAATGGTTCCCATTCTTCAACTCTGCCATATTGCTGCAGAAGACATTGCTATTCCTACTCCCTCTTTGGCACAAACTCCCTTTGGCACACATGCGTATATCAGGACATACCTGTCATCCAGCTCCACCTTTCCAAGTGTATATTCATCAATATCCTTATATTTTAATATAGAACTTTTAATTATTAGGTTTTTCTGGATGGCAAAGTTTATTACTTGAATTTCATTATCATTACTAAAGTCGTATAAACTTTCTTTACCATTCATTGAAAAATAAACTTCTTCCCTTCACACATCGTTTTCCCGTCTTTTAGAATTATTTTCATGCAGTTTATCATAAACCTATTTCAGTTCATCATAAAATTTGAACTTGACTTTATCACTGTCTTCAGTCAGATAACATATATTTATAAACACAATTTTAAATAAATTCTCTTGGAATATGGACACTAATATCCTATCACTAAAAAATTACAAGTCCATCTAAGCCCACTTTCGTTGTAGACATTTAAATTCTTAGTTTGTTTTTTGAAAATAAATTTTTGATAGTCAAATTTAAATATCAATATTTTTCCAACATTTCTAGACACTACTAATGTTTTGAGTTAAGAAGCTTTATGTAAACCTAAAAGGGGATGGGAAAAACTGAGCGTATCAGTTGTCTGGATGAGAAAATGTTGTGATTATACAGATCTTATTGTAACCCTATTCGTATAAAATATAATAGAACTGAGAGGGACGAAAGATTCGGAAAACTAATGGAGGAACCAATTCAGAGTCTCCCAGGGAAACACTGTGATATGTGAAAGAGGCTTATAGAAGAATTCACCTTTATTAGGATAAATCCCCACAAGCCAGGTAACACGTTTACTAATGCATTTTGTGTGTAAACAATTGGCTGAACGCTAATTTCAACAACCTTGTGTAGCTCTAATGAGGAGTCATTCTCATTAATGATTCACTGCTTAGCATATGAATTGATTTACATAGAGGATTTAAATACTTATGGATATCTTGTGAGAGGTGTCACTGACTTGATAACCTCCTGAGATTTACGACTGGTTGTGAGCTGCAATTTATTTACCAAATATTTATTGTCTGTAATATTTTTTTTACCACATTTCTTATCTAAACATCCCACTAATTATTATTACTTGAGAGGAAGTATAGATACCATTATATATAATATGCGCATGACAAGTTGTTACAGTTGTTCATTTTAGTTACATGCCGTAGATTGTTTTTATAGCTTTATACAAATTTGTATTTTTTGTAATTCATTTGTAATGCTAAATTTTCATAGATTGTTTATATATTTATAGTAGATGGTATTTATCGTAGATTACATTAATATGGTTGAATTTTCTTGGATTATTTAATTTATAGATATAATCCCATGTATGGTGGGTGAACCATACATTATAGAAGCATAGCTGTATTTATTTTTTTCCTGACACCCATATTAAAAGAATTGTTAGTGATCCTTGTCTGAAAGAGAATATTGAACTCAAATATTTAAGGAAAAACAAATATTACTATCTGTTAATGCAACAGCATTAATTTTTTTATTTTCTTATTTAAAAAAAATGTTTAAATTGATAATTTGGTTTATTTCATCAAAATTAAATCAACTATTAATTAAATTTTTCATAGGACCACAGCTTATATTGTTTAAATTCAATATAGACTGGTTCATAGTTTATATATATTGTTCTGCATTGTAGCCCTAGCTATAAAAAGGTCCTAGGTTCAAGCACTAAGCCAATACACAGTCTGGTTCCATCCGTTACTGAGCTCAGTGCTGCCAACTTCTATACTGTCCACTGCAGCCCTAATCTAAAGAGAACTACTCTCGTCATGCTCATAGCTGCCCACTTGCAGTTTGATTACATGAGGGCTCATGAAAGATGTACTGTAGAAGGATTGGAATACCAGCGGTTCGTCCATTTTTTACACTTTCACCTGCGTCCACCACGTACCGTATTTTGGTTTTATGTTTTCATTGTATGGTATAACACTCAGTGTAAGGAATATATTTGTTTTTTATTTTCTTTATTAATGAGTTGAAATTACAGTAATATATTATAGTGGGACAGTTATATAATATTTTATTCCATGTTTCAGAACTGGATTTATTTACATTATTCTTTTATTCATCTTTGTTCTCAATTATAAGAGGTTTTTTTTTCCTTTTATTTTGTATCAAGTTTTATTTTATTCAGAAAAGTGTAAAATTGATTTAATTTTTATTTTCTTTCATTATGTATAAATATAGAAAAATAAATGTTTAATCCAAGTATCATTACAGTTCACTTTTTATAATATATTTTTTAATCAATTGTCTTCGTTAAGCTTCATTAAAAGTTTAATTTAAACCCATAGGGAGCTTAAGATAATTTTGGTCCTCTGGACCAGATCTGAACCAGCGACCTATGGATTGACCAAATAGATTACATTGGTTTTACAGTATGTCCACTAAGATAAAAATGAACTACATTTATGAAAGGGTTTTGCAAGAAGGAAACGATTAATATATCATCATCATCATCATCATAATCCATCCTCTTGAACCGCATTAAGCAGTGTGAGGAGGAAATTTATAGAGCCTTCTCCAGCTCCGCCGGTCTTCAACAAGATGCCTTCTATCATTCCATTAAAGACCTCTTCTCTGGAAATCGCTCTTTACCTCATCTTCCCATTTCATTCTAGGCCGTCCTCTTCCTCTCTTGCCGTCTATTTTAGATCAATAGGTTTTGCTAGCTATTCTGTTTGGTTCTATCCACAGAAGATGTCCTAGCCATCTCAGTCGATTCTCCTCAATCACACCATTGGCCGGCTTAATGTTGAGGTTCGACCTGATGGTGGTGTCGCGTACTCTGTCTCTTCTCATTTTCCCCTCAATCTTTCGGAGGAATCACATTTCTGACGTTTGTATCCTTGATCGATGTTTCTTTGTCAGTGTCCATGATTCTGAAGAGTACGTTAAAATAGGAAGAAATGTTGACCTGAAAAAAGCTACTTTTGTTTTATTTTCCACCTCATGCCTGTTTAGAAAACCTTTCTTGACTGCTTCAAACATCCTGCTCGCAGCAGCGATTCGCTCAGTCACCTACGAATCGATATATCCATTTTCATTAAGGTGTGCGCTCAAGTATTTGAAGTTTTCTACCTGCTCGAGGATTTTGTCTTCGACTCTGATGACGCGCATATTTCTCCTAGGCTTCTTCCCAACCCTCATTACTTTCTTTTTTACGGGGTTGATAATCATATTAATCTTCTGCAATTCTTCGTTTAATTTATTAATATTGTACTGAAGATTCCTGTCACTGTCCGAAAAAATAACGTCATCAGCGAATGCAAGTATTGAGAGGCTCACCGATCTCAGATTGGCATATCCCAGATGAAATTTTCACATTTTTCCTTTAGCCCTCCGTATTGCTGAATCCATCACTAGTATAAAAAAAAGTGGACTAAGACAACAACCTGGCCGGATTTCAATTGTTGTTTCGATTTATGTGAAGTACAGTTGGCAAATCTTACTATATTTCTTGTTTTCTTGTAGAGACTCTCAACCGCCAGAACATGACTTTGATCAATCCCTTTTTCTCTCAAGGCCTCCAAGATATTAGACTTTCTCACCCGATCGAAGGCCTTTGTAAGATCAACAAAGCACACTGACATTTCCTTTTCTTTCTCCAATACTTTTTCGAAAACTTGTCTCATGGTAAAGAATAGATCCTGGGTGCTACGATTTTCCCGAAATCTGTATTTATTAACATATATAATATCAAATAACTTAATTATTTATAATGCTAAAATAAATAATGCTGTACTTCACATGAAATCGAAACAACAATTGGAATGCCATCATCTGAAAATCCAGAGGTTATTAATTCAACTAGAAACAAATTATTTATTAAAAAATACCATAATAATAATAATAATTTTAAGAGCTGTTAGTTCAGAAAAGTGATCTTTATTTAAATAATCACTTAACATAAAATATTAGAAATATTACTTATGCTGTGTCAGCTTTCTTCTAGTCTTGAACGCTTTCCCGCAATCCTCACAAAGAAAGTTCTTATGTTTTTTGGGTGTCTCTGGAGGTTCAATGATTCCTGCTGAGACCTCAGCCTGTTGCTGCTTCTGAGGGGTACCAAAAGTACATGGTCCCACATGGCCTTTCTCACAATAAGGACAACGTGGGTCTGAATAAAATAAAATAAATTAATTAAATTATAAAAAAAATATTTTAAAAATAATGTATTCTTATTTTATAAAAAAATTAAATAAAATAAAACTGATCAAATATATTCTTAACATAAATGCAGTAAACTCTTAGTAATTCAAATTCCAAGGGTTCAAGCAAAGGATTTGATATATTTTTATTATAGGTTAAAAAAGTTCAGATTTTGAACTAAACAGTTCTATTGAAGATGTGTTTATTAATTTATATAGTCAATACAATGAAAACATAAAACATTATATATGTGCCTGTGTGTGTATAAAAATTGTATATGATAACAAAAAAACAGTGTATATATATATATATACATATATATATAATGTAATGTACACCTATATTGAAAGTGAGTAAAAAGGGTTTAATAAATTAATATTGAACAATTAAAAGGCAAGCTAATCTAGTTCTACTAGTGCAGGAATAAGAAAATGGCTGTTCTGTAGTTTCCCAAGAAGGAAAATCCTAGAGAGGAAAGGGACAAAGGTTTTTGTTTTGGAAAACATTTGTTGTGTGACTGCAGTGAAGAGAAGTTAAGAGAAGATATCCTATCCTGGCTCCAGTGGGTAAAACCCAGTAATAGTTTTTCCATCTTAGAAGATCTTGTTTGGCAGGGAGAATAGTTGTTTGGAATTGCAGGAGAGAGGATTTCCCAGAGAGCTTGAGTTGAGTGGAAGAATAGTGTTACCATTTTGGGATATGTGTTTGGCAGAACATAGGAAAATGTGTGAAGACAAATGAGTTCCATGCCAAAAAGAAGAAACATTGTAAGTAGAAAAAAGGTTAGCTTGTCAATTCATACTTGACTTTATTTTTAAACCAGTGTTTAATTTTAATATAAATAGTGTAAATAATAATAGTTTGTCTGAGTTGATCTGATTGTCAGTAACCCACACCCGAGATAAGTAAATATATTAATACTCTAATAATTTTTTTATTTATTTAACAACCTCTTATTTCTTTTGGAAGTATCCTAAGGGTATAAAGTGGGCTTCCATGAGGTCATATTATTATTACTATTATTTGTAAAATATAAGAGGAATGTTACTATATATATATATATATATATATAGTAACATTCCTCTCGAAACCCCTAGAAAGATTGGTGCAATCCCAAGTCTCCAACTTCCTTGAAAAGTCCAACCAACTTGATCCTCTCCAATCTGGTTTCCGTCCCAGCTACTCCACACAATCCGCCTTAATTAAAATCACCAACGACATTCAAACTGCAATAGATGATAAAAAGTTAACCATCCTTATCCTTCTCGACTTCTCCAAAGCCTTCGATTCCATTAACCATTCCATCCTTTTCAACAAACTGAAATTATTATCCTTCTCCAATAGTTCCATCTCTTGGTTTCAATCTTTCCTCTCACAACGTACCCAAGCAGTCTCCATACCCAACCAACCACTATCTGCCTTCCTTTCTTTATCCTCTGGAGTTGCCCAGGGTTCAAGCATATCTCCTCTCCTTTTCAGCTCCTACATTAACGACCTACCTAAATCAATTCTCCATTGTTCCCATCACCTTTATGCAGACGATTCACAGATCTACCTATCATTTTCCCCTCCTGAGTTACTGGGGGCATTTGCCAAGATCCAAGAAGACCTAGATCGAATCAGTGCCTGGGCAAATGTAAATGGATTAAGGTTAAATGCCGCCAAAACTCAGGCCATTGTCATTGCTTCCAAGCCCCTTCTTAGATCCCATCCAGACTTTCCCATCCTTCACCTTAATGACCAGCCAATCTCCTTCTACTCCTCTGTTAAAAACTTAGGATTTTTCATTGATCAAAACCTCCTTTGGAATCACCATATTTCTCATATCTCTCGACGGACAATTTCCACCCTCAAACTATTCCATCGCTTCCGCCATCTCCTACCTCAACATACGCGTAGACTCCTAGTTTCCTCTCTCATTTTCCCCCACTTTGACTATAGCTGTGTGGTGTATGATGGGCTCTCTGTGGAGCTCCGTGATAGACTGAAAAGACTAATGAACAGCTGTGTAAGATTTGTGATCGGGGCCCCAAGATACTCCCATGTTTCTCACCACTATGCTGAGTTAAAGTGGCTTTTCCCCTCCTTCCGAAGACAATATTTCCTAGGTACGTTCCTCTACCAAATCATCAACAGTCATCGTCCTTCTTACGCCTACAATTTTCTCCAGTTCAAATCCTCAGTCCATTCCCTGTCCACAAGATCTCGACCTTCTAATCTTTACATGCCTTCTCACAGATCTGCCTCATTCCAAAATTCCTTTGTTGTTCGCTCTGTCAATTTCTGGAATTCCCTCCCTATCAAAATTCGACATTCCCCATCCATATCCAAATTCAAAATCCTCCTATTCCAATTCCTATCCCAAGAACAGTCAGATAGTTGCTAACCATTCGAGCTGATTTTAATAGAGAATTTGATACATAAAAATTCATTGATTGATTCATTGATACATTTTTATTTTTTAATTCTTTATTATTTTCTTAAAAGTGTATACTAGTGCAAATAGCTTTAAGTGCCTTGTTATAGTATTAATTGTTTTGTATATAGTTTCGTTTTTTTTTTATATAGAATGTTTACCTTATATTTTTTTTACATTATTTCTTTTTTTCGATTGATTTTATTTTGGCCAGATGTGATCTTTTAATTTTGTTCTATTTTGTTATTCTCAAGGGACTGTGTCCCAGAATAAAATTATTTTTCTATCTATCTATCTATCTCTCTCTCTATATATATATATATATATATTCTTTCATGAATGATGAGAGGCAAAGAAAATAATGGGAGAGAACTTGTCAGGGAAAAGAAAAAGAGGACACCCAAGAAGATCTGGCAAGGATTGGAATCACTGAATGGAAACAGATGGCATTGAATTGAGATGCATGGAATCGAATTGTATGGGAGGCCAAAGTCCACCTTGGACTGTAGTGCCAGGAAAGTAAGTTAAGAAAGTACATATTTACATATGTACATGTTTTTTTTTATTTCACACAACTTAAAATTTTTCTTTACATGTGGGTAGATGATTTATGGTTCAAGAGATGAAAAAATAGATGGTGTTTGAACAAAGTTAGGGAGGGAGCTTTTTGAATGTAGTTAGGTAAGGAATTCCAAAACAAGGTAACTCGTTATTCTAAGAAACAACAAAAGATTTCTCAAAGGAAGTTGTATATAGTCTCTAGGAGAGGGTATATACAAATTGGAATGTTGAAATCTTGTATTTAAGGGGTAAATAAAAGAACGCAGTGTGAAGAGATCAAGAATATAGGATATTTTTTTTTGTTCTCATGGATTAGAATTGGAAGGCACGAAGGAGGTATAGTCTTCGAAAAGTAAGAAATAACAAACCTTATTCAGAATATGTGTGAGAGACAAGAGAACGTCTGGAAACACGAAAAATAAATCTTATGAAACAACTCAATAATCTTTTTAGTCTTATTTCATGCTCACCAGATGGTCCTTCATACAATAAGAATCTATAGTCAAAGTGGGTAAGAATGAGGGAGGAAACTAGAAGATGATGGGTACTTTAGGGAATGAATCACAGAATTTTAGGAGCAGTTTAAGGATTGAAATGAATTTTTGAGTGATTTGGAAAATATGGTTATTCAAGTTTAGGTATTGATTAAAGGTAACTCAAAGATTTTTTTTTTAATAGAGTTTTAGAATTAATAGGAATATTGTTGAGATGTAGTAATGGATAATAGTGAAGAATCTTGAGGAAGGGTTTTAAACTTAAGAGTGTCGCCTTAGTTTTTGCTGTATTCAGGTTTAACTTATTTTCTGCATCCCAGCGGTTAAAAATATTAATGTTGTCCTGCAGCTTAAAAGATGCCTCAAGCATGTCAGAAGGGTAAAAGCATATAATCATACTTGGAGTGACGGATAACGATAGGGTGGTCATTTATATAGATAAAAAGTAATGTTGGTGAGAGAGAAGATCTCTGAAGAACACCTTAAAAGAAAAGCATTGGTGATAAGGGACTTTTTTTTAAAGGAATAATCATGGTTTGTGAGCAATAAGACAGGAAGGAGTAGAACCTGTGGTACTTTTAGTCTAGCAGGCCGGACTGAAACCTCACCTCTTATCTATCTTATCAAACGTCACGTCACATAACCTCCCTCTTCTTATCCCCTTTCAGTTATTGCATTGTTTAGTTTTCAGTTATTCCCTTATTATGTTCACTTATTAAATTGTTTACTTTTGGTCCGTTTGTGTTTATTTTTCATTATTTTTAGTTTTTGGCCCGTTTGTGTTTATTTTACTTTTTTTTTAGTTTGTGGCCCCTTTGTGTTTCTTTTCCTCATATTATGGATCTTCTTAGAATATGGAATTTGACGCCTTCAGAAGAACAGGCACTTCAATATTTTTAAAATGTTGGGGTACTTGCCGACTTGAATCGACGTGTGATCGAGGTCATCGAATGAAGTCACCCAGGAAGGCCAAATGGAGATGCTTTCGTAGGACTTATGACACAAAACTTTCAATAAGGAAAGGAACATGGTTGGAGGGCTCGAGGATTTCGTTTTTAACAGCTTTAAAATTGATTTATGGATGGTCGCATAGCTTGACAACGATGAAGTGGGCCAAAGAGCAGCTGAAACTATTCAACAGAGCTATGGTAACGTGGAACAAATGTCTAAGAGAGGTTTGTGCCCATGACATGTTACACAGGCCAAGAAAAAAAATTGGAGGACCTGGCAAAGTGGTTGAAGTAAAAGAAAGTCTTTTTTCTAAACGAAAAAATCATGTGGGGAGAGTTTTATCTCAGCAGTGGATGTTTGGTGGAGTTTGTCGAGAAACAGATGAATGTTTTATCTTTTTATAAAACCGATTTTGTTTTATATTTTTTCTTTTCAATGTAAATATGTTCTTTTAAATGTGTTTTTTATTATTTCATTTTGATGTTTTATATGTGCATATCTTCTTAAAGTGTTTTTTTTATTATTTCATTAATACATGTGTCGTCA